ACAATTGTAATTCTCTCCTTTCTACTTTTCACATCTGATGACAAACTTTTAAATCGATCAAAGATACGCTGTTCTGTTGGCAACTTATTCATTTCACTAATACTTTTAACAAAAGTAGTATATCTTCTGGAAGTTTTAGTTTTTTCAAACCTTACTAAATTTGATTCCCAAATTTTCTTATTCTTGTTTGAAGCAACACTATTTTTGGACATAATGTTCAAAATGCAAGATAACAGTTTGACAAACTTAAAGAAGACAATTCCGGTTATATACAAAAAACCAATTATAAAATGCTGAAGCACTTCCACACGGTCCAACAGGGTTGAAATCGAAAATTGCAGTTATTAAAAATTGCAGTTATCTCGTAAAGAAATCTGTAGAATTTATGATGTTTGTAATCACAGTTGTATATTGATTAAGATTGTGTTGTGTCTCTGTTAAGTAATTTATAACTCACTAAAAAGATAGGAAAAATTATTTTTAGCTTGAGGGGTGATCTTTTTTGACAATTTACATTAAAAAAATAGATTTTATGTTTATAAGTATAATTTCTCCACTCATGGTTACATAGGGAATAAAAAATTCTAAAATTTTTTTTTTAGTTATACTCCTACTGTATATATATATATATATATATATATATATATATATATATATATATATATATATATATATATATATATATATATATATATATATATATATATATATATATATATATATATATATATATATATGTTTCTCTAAATGTTTCTCTAAATCAGTGATTTCTCTAAATCAGTGATTTCTCTAAATCTCTAAATCAGTGATTCTAATCTCTGGTTCTCTAATCTCTAAATCAGTGATTTCTCTAAATCATGTTTCTCTAAATCAGTGATTTCTAATACTTGTGGAGATTCAGCTTCATTTTCTTGGTCGTTTTTTTCCATGTCAACAGTGAAGGTGCTATTATTAGAAGCTTCATTTTCTTCTACTACTAATGGAGTTTGTATCAAAGTACTATCTTTTGAAGAATCTTTTTAAGGTCAGGTCAGGTTTTCCTGCTACTGGTAACATGTAACCCAGTACAACCTGCTCCATGTCCTGCTGCCTTGTAGGATACGCTTTTTTAGGCAAAGGCTAGGAGAAGTTAACTCCGAATTAAAACACCCCCTGCCTTGGGGCTCTTGGTTGAGTAAAGGCTAGAGATGGTGTCTCGATAAAAATACTCATCTTGGGCAGATGTTACATGCATCCAGCTGCTGTCTTGTAGAAGGCCTCCTAGGCAAAGACTTAAGGGGTAAACAGATTCTATCTGTTGACCAGCCTCGCACCCCTTCCTCATCTATTAGGCTGGCGCAGATGTATTTTTAATACATTGTTTCCAGTTTAGGATGTTGAACGCTGGATCTTCTTGACTCAATGCGTGGGTATTGCTTGTGTCTCTATTTTTATGACTGGGCAACTCATTCTATTATCTCCTAATGAGGGTACAGCTCTAAAACTCAGTTTTATGGTTCTGAGGCCGGCTGGTAGTCAGGTTTCCCGAACTCTGTGGTAGCTCTCAGAGAGGCTGATTCCATCAACAGCCGAAAAATATCAGAGTACTAACAGTGCCATGTTGCGCATGGATGGTGTCCCTGTTTGTACTTTTGGTGTGCATTGCAGAGGCCACATTTGGAGCCCTTTGTTACGGCTTAGGGTTTATTAATAGTAATGAGGCTATTGCTTAGTTGTTAAATAGTGTACTGAGTACTATCTACACTTGAGTCAAGTTCTTTATAAATTTAAAATGACTAAAGTACCTAAAACTAAAAAACACAAAAAACCATCGTCATCACCAAGTTCTCTAAACCTATCATTTACTAATATTCGTGGTCTTCGAAGTAACTTTTCTTCTGTTGAGTCTTATCTCTTGCAAAGTTCACCAGACGTACTTGCTCTTTGTGAGACTAATTTGAGTTCGGCTGTCCCATCTTGTGATCTTAGTGTTGATGGTTATCTTCCTTTAATTCGTAAAGACTCCAATAATCACATGCTTGGCCTGGGCATCTACATTCGTAAGAACTCACCCATTTGTCGTGAAACTAGGTTTGAATCTACAGACTATTCATTTATGTGCTTTCGCTTAGCACAACTTCACTCTATCGCCTTTCTCTTTGTTCTATATCGCTCTCCTTCATCCCAAGATTGCACTATTCTTGATGTTATTTCTGATCAAATTGACCAAGCCCTCTCTCTTTATCCATCGGCCAATATCGTCGTTGTTGGTGACTTTAATGCCCATCACACCGATTGGCTTGGCTCTAGTGTCAGTGACTCTGCTGGCGTTAAGGCCCTCAACTTTTGCCTTTCTCAATCTCTAACTCAAATAGTCAACTTTCCAACTCGTTTTCCAGACAACCCTAATCATTTACCTTCTCTACTCGACTTATGTCTTGTTTTGGATCCTAGTCAGTGCTCAATTTCTCCACATTCACCCTTAGGTACTTCTGATCACGGTTTGATCTCTCTAAAACTATTATCAAATTCTTCTACTTCATCAGAATCCCCCTATCATCGTACCACATACAACTACCTTAAAGCTGACTGGGACTCTTTCCGTGATTTTCTTCGTGATGGCCCTTGGGTAGAAATCTTTCGTCTTCCTGCTGACAAATGTGCTTCTTACATAACTTCGTGGATTCAGGCTGGCATGGAATCTTTTATTCCCTCTCGACGATTCCAGGTCAAGCCTCACTCTTCTCCTTGGTTTTCCTCACATTGCGCTGCAGCAATTTCTAATCGAAACCGTTACTTCCATATCTATCAGCAAAACAATTCTCCAGAAAACAGACATCTGTTCACTATCGCCAGAAACCATTGTAAAAAGGTTTTGTCTGACGCCAAAGCTCGCTATTCCCAGGTCATTAAATCTCGTATCTCATCACAAAAATTAGGCTCTCGAGACTTCTGGAGAATCTTTAACAGTATCAATAATAAGGGCAAATCTGTTATTCCTTCTCTCTTGTATGGTTCAGACTTTGTCACCTCACCTAAAGACAAAGCTGAATTGTTTGCTAAGAACTTTTCATCAATATCATCTCTTGATTCCACTAATTGCGTTTTACCTGACATAGCCGTCAAACAGGTTGATCCCTTGCTTGACATTCGCATCACTTCAGCTTCCGTATCTAAAGTAATTTCCTGCTTAGACTCTTCAACAGCTTGTGGTCCTGACAACATTCCTGTTGTAGTCTTGCAGAGGTGTTCTCCGGAGCTTTCATCCATACTTTCTAAACTATTTAACAAGTGCTTATCAGAGTCTTGTTTTCCATCATGCTGGAAAGCAGCATCTGTTATCCCTATTTTCAAAAATTCCGGAGAGCGATCTGATTCATCTAACTACCGTCCCATTAGTCTTCTTCCTGTCATAAGCAAGGTTTTTGAATCTTTAATCAACAAACACTTAATCTCTCATCTTGAATCAAATAACTTACTTTCTGATCATCAATATGGATTTCGGTCTTCTCGTTCTACAGCTGATGTGCTAACAGTAATAACCGAAAGGTTTTACCGTGCATTAGATAGAGGTGGAGAGGTTAAGGCTATCGCACTTGACATTTCTAAAGCTTTTGATAAAGTTTGGCATGCTGGTCTTCTCCATAAGCTTTCTTCTTATGGTGTAGCTGGTAACGTCTTTAAGATTATTGAGTCCTTTCTTTCCAATCGTAGTATAAAAGTTGTCCTCGATGGACAACACTCTTCTTCACATCCTGTAACTTCAGGGGTTCCTCAAGGTTCAATCCTTGGCCCTATACTCTTTTTAATTTACATTAACGATCTTCCAGATATTCTCACATCTAAGGTGGCATTATTCGCTGACGACACTACCATTTACTCTTGTCATGATAAGAAGCCTACACTTTCTGATTGCTTGGAGGGGGTATCTGAGCTTGAAAAGGATCTCACTTCTGCTACAGCATGGGGCTCACAGTGGCTGGTGAACTTTAATTCAGATAAAACTCAATTTTATTCGGCCAATCGTTATCGTAATAATTTAGATCTTCCTATATTTATGAATGGTAATGTACTAGATGAGTCATCTACCATTCATCTTCTAGGATTAACTCTTACTTCTGATCTTTCTTTTAAACCGTATATCAAATCCATTGCAAAATTAGCATCTGCTAAGGTTGCATCTCTTTATCGAGCTCGACACTTTCTTACTCCAGATTCTATTCTCTATCTCTATAAATCTCAAATCCGTCCCTGTATGGAATACTGTTGCCACATCTGGGGCGGATCTTCTAATGATGCTCTTTCTCTTTTAGACAAGGTGCAAAAACGAATTGTAAACATAGTTGGACCTGCTCTGGCAGCCAATCTCCAACCTTTGTCACATCGTCGTAATGTTGCTTCTCTTTCTCTTTTCTACAAATACTATAATGGGCACTGCTCTAAAGAGCTAGCGTCCCTTGTGCCATCTACTAAAATTCATTCTCGTGTTACCCGCCATTCAATTAAGTCTCATCCTTTTTCTGTGACTGTTCCTAAGTGCTTCAAAAACTCTTATTCTTCTAGTTTTTTTCCTCGAACATCAGTTCTTTGGAATTCGCTTCCTTCATCTTGCTTTCCTGATTCATATAATTTGCAATCTTTTAAGTCATCAGTCAATCGTTATCTTGCTCTACAGATTTAGTCTTTTCTCTTCCAGTAACTTCCAACTCTTATAGTGGTTGCTTGCAGCCTTGTTGGAAGTGAAGATGTTAAAAAAAAAAAAAAAAAAAAAAAAAAAAAATATATATATATATATATATATTTATATATATATATTTATATATATATATATATATATATATATATATATATATATATATATATATATATATATATATATATATATATATATATATATATATATATATATATATATATATATATATATATAGTTAAGTTAAATTGTTATTTTTGTTATGTTATAATTATTATCTTACTTTTGCTGTATTTAAAGTTATGGCTATATATAATTTATTTTTAAGTCTGTTACAAAAATGGTTCAAGAAGCATGTACATATGTTGATCAAATAGACTCCAAAGTTGAGCGTATAAAATTAATTGATACTATAAGAACAGTGACTGCCGGCAAGGTAAAAATTTTATATAAATTTTTTAAGAAAATGTCTTAGTGTTTATCGGTTTTTTATTTTTATTTTTTTTATTTTTATTTTTTAATGTTCTTCTATTAGATATATTTGGAACTTGAGAGAGCACGAGTTACTCGAAAATTATCTGAATTAAAAGAGGCTGAAGGCAATATATCAGGTTAAGGTTTAATTTTCTATTTTATTTTAGTTTCAATTTTATTAGTTTTAATTTCTTTATTTTAAGTGCAAAATGTTTCTGTTTTATTTTCTTCCTTTTTTTTCCTACTGTAGAAGCTGCCAGCATTCTTCAAGAGTTACAAGTTGAAACTTATGGTTCAATGGAGCGCCAAGAAAAAGTTGAATTTATTTTGGAACAAATGCGACTGTGTTTAGCAAAAAGAGATTTTATTCGTACTCAAATTATTTGTAAAAAGATAAATACAAAATTCTTTGATGATAACAAAGAGCAGGTTAAAAATTAATTCTTAGTAATTATTTTTTATGTTAGTTATTTTTTATTTTTCTCACTCAGTATTTTATATATGGTAAATTACGTTATCGATATTTATCATATCAAGTATTCGGTTATGAAAAATTCGATATGAAAAATGTCAAATCTGGTACACTTCAACTATATATATACATATATATATATATATATATATATATATATATATAATATATATAATATATATAATATATATAATATATAATATATATATATATATATATATATATATTTTTTTTTTATTTAAATTCACCTCCTCAAGGCCGAGAAGGCCACTACAGACGAGGAGGCTACTTATTTGTGGTTATAACCCTCTCTCAACTCTATAACTCCGAAACACGAACCTTGACGAGCAAGGCCGCTGTGCTGAGAAACGAGTTGAGCGCGGTACTACCAGGGACGTGGTGGGGATCGAACTCGGAACCACTCGTTTATGAAGCGAGCGCTCTACCACTACACCACTACCGCATATATATATATATATATGGGCGATTCCATGGCGGAAAATGAAAAATTAGTCAAACTTTATTTTCTTTTTTGTCAACTTTTAGCAAATGAATATTGATGTAGACACATGAAAGTTCACAAATGTTAATTTAAAGTATATCTTTAGTACTAAAATTTATTTAAGTCATTTTTATGCTTCCAAAAGTTACGGTTTTTCTCATTGTCACATGATAAAAAAAGTATCATTGTAAAATATTATTTTAACCATGAGTTTATTTGCATAATTGGAATTAGTTTAGCATGAAAATGGAGGTAACATGTTCAAATTGTTGTTGGTTTGAGTTAAGTGGGGTCATCCATAAAGCACCTCACTCCAATTTTGTCAATTCTTAACGCCTTCCCTCCTGTCCCAAATGATCACATACCTGAACCCTCTCCCTACTAAACTGCAGTCTTGATGTCAATATTTTAAAAGAATTAAATGTAAATAAAAGTTTCAAAAGTTCAACCAAATGAAAATATGCATAAGAAGTAAGAAGTGTAAGTAAAAACTTTGAATAGTAGATATAAAAAATCCACAATAATAATGGTTCGGTTACGTAATTGATATAACGTAAGTTAAATATATATTATCAAAAAAACCTGTTTATTTTCCTTAGCCAGCCACCTCTTAAAACTTTTTATATTTTTTTTAAGATTGGTATAGAATTCTCAACATCTTGTGAAAGTTTTTATTACAAACAGCTTTACAGATACTGGGCCTTACTAACTAATGTAACACAAATGAATTGATTATGGATAGGTGATTATGGGTAGATGGTTATGAATACATTGGATTTTATGGATTTTAATTTTTTTTTTTTTTATAAAGTAACATATGTTAAATTCAATTAAGTCATTTTTTATATTTATTTTTATTTATGATATATTTGATGTCTACAATCATAAGTATTTAAAATGTTTGAAAAATTACTTTGGTTTAGCTATAATAACTTCATAGTTGATATCTTTTAGTATAAAATGATATTTCTGCTAAATGAAGATTAAATAATGTAAACAAACATTTCACAGTTTTAAGACATTTTTAACTTAATAAAGTAAGAGTAAATTGTTTATTGCAGTTAGAAATAAAATGTAATTCTAAAATTAATTTGAAAGCCTTAAACAATTTTTTTATATATAACCTGACTTTCTGTTAAAAGTTTTTAAGAACTCTGATGATAGTTGTACTTAAACAGGTTGTTAAAAATATTGGGAGAATAAGCAGGTACTTCAGACTAGAAGTTTTGTTGTTTTTTAATATTTGCGGACCGTAATTTTTGCTGTTCGTAATTACTGAGACTAAATAACAATAATATTGCAAAAAAAGAAATGTGTAATAATTACGTTAAGAAGAGTTTGAGTAGGGTCAGGTGGTTGATATTACCTGACCCTATTTCTAATCTTGATTATTAATTTTCAAAATAGCTTTTTTACACAATATATGTGATAAAAAAAAAGGAAGAAAAAAAGAGTATTTATTTCAATAATCTAGATGTTCCTATATTTATAAATGGTATTGTACTTGATGAATCTTTTACCCTTCATCTTCTAGGGTTAACTCTTACTTTCGATCTTTCTTGGATATATCAAATCTATAACAAAATTAACATCTGCATCTCTTTATTGAGCTTTCCACTTACTCTAGATTTTATTCTTTATCTCTAAATCTCTAATCTGTCCTTGTATAGATAACTGTTGCCATATCTGGAGCAGGTCTTTGAATGATGCTCTTTCTCTTTTAGCTCATGCAGCCAACCATTGATCATTGGACAAGATCATTGTTAAATTGTCATAATGCTGCTTCACTTTCTCTTTTCTATAAATCAATTCAACTTGTTTCTCCACGCAGTGGCCTTGTTTGTCAGGGTTCGTGTTTCAGAGTTATAGAGTTGAGAGAGGGTTATAACCATTATTAAGTAGCCTCCTCATCTGTAGTGGCCTTGTCGGCCTTGAGGAGGTGAATAACAAAAAAAAAAAAAAGAAGAAAAAAGCTATAATGGGTGCTGCTCTTAAACCTAGCACCTCTTGTACCATCTACTAAAATTCATTCTTGTGTTACTCCTCATTCAATTAAGTCTCATCCTTTTACTGTGACTGTTTCTAAGTGCATCAAAAATTCTTATTTGTATAGTTTTTTTCATCAAACATCGAACATTAAGTTCTTTGGAATTTGCTCTTTTCATCTTGTTTTCCTGATTCTTATAATTTGCAATCTTTTGAGTCATCTGTTAATCATTATTTATAGCTTTATAATTTCATCTTTTCTCTTCCAGTAACTTTCCAATTCTAATAGTAATTACTTGCAGGCTTGTTGGAAAAGAAAATGTTTATAAAAAAAAATCAAAAAAAGTTCTTTTGCTCAACCTTAAAGAGTAAAATTAGAAAATGTTTATGCTTAAGGCATGAACTAGACTTTTATAAAGCATTAGTAGTCCCACATCTAAATAAGTAACAGTATAAAAAAAAGAATTTTGTACTGCACCATTTTTTTTAATGTTTGTAAAAAAAAATACTAAAACTACATGAATATTTTCCCTTTACCTGTTTGCTTTTCTTTAACACTTTAACGCTCTACGTCTTTTTTTTTTTTTTACTATTTTTACTATTTACACCCTTTTTTTTATTATTTACTACTAACCCCCTTTTTTGTTACTTACATCTTTTTGTTTGTTTTTCACCCTAAACTCTTTTATTGTTAATTAATAGTAATTAAATATAAAATTTTGTTTCCTATTAGTTAATTTATATTATTTATTATAAATATAATTTTAACAATTTGAATTTTATTTAGGCTCTTAAATTAAAGTATTACCAGTTAATGATTGAACTTTGTCATAATGATTCTCAATATTTATCTATATGTAAACATTACCATGCTGTTTATAATACACCATGTATTCTAGAAGATTCTCTTAAAAAAAAAGAGGTAAGAAACGCTTTGTTTATTTTTTTAATTTTTTAATAGAATTATCTTAAACTGTTTTGAATTTTAATGATGATCTAGATAGTGTCATTTGATTAGCAACTCTGTTATTTATAATTTCTGGTTTGTTATTGATTGCACCCTTCAAATTGTGACTTTAATATTCTATTCAATAAATTTTATTTAAAAATTTTTTCCGTTTCGATTGCCTTATAAATTTAGTTTGTTAATTACATTATATTTGTAATTAGGACTTTTAATGTTCAATCATGTTTCATTCATGTTCAATTTCAAAATTTGTGTGATCTTAAAGTAAAAAGAGTATTCTGGGTCTAAACTTTTTTTTTTGATGTCGATGTAAACTTTTTTTTGATAACGATGTAAACTTATTTTGATGGCAATGTAAACTTTTTTATTTATTTATTTTTTTAAGACAGTAAAGCTCAAGCAAGATGTGTGTGTTTCTGTTGAAGCATGAAATTACAAGATGAGCATGTAGTTTTGGTGCTTAATCTTGGATTTCTTTTAATTTCATCAGTGCAAACCTTATTTTGTCATTATTCTGTCAATGAGTTCTAGTTTGCCAACACCACTTCAAGCAAAAGAATTCCAAGCAATGAATGTCAAGAATATTCTGGCGCTTGAAATTTTGTATAAATTGATGACCCGATAAAAATCGATGTTGTTATAAATAATTGCGTAATATTAAAAACAAGTATATATTTATTATTTACTGTTTATTAGGTAGAACATGCAGGGAGTGTACATACATCAACTAAGGTCTTCAGTTTGGCTATAAGTTAAAATTAAGAATCGTGTTAAAAAGTGATTTAAAAATTAAAGCTAACGCTTAATTTTTTATATTCTGGTCATCAATTTACACAATGAAATTTATTTCAATGAAATATATGAAATGAATTTCTTGCAATAAAAAAGTTATTTAGTGTTTATACTATTTTAAAAAATAATACTGAGTAAAAAATTTAAATTTAAGAATAAAATGGTTTTTTAAAAAGTAAAAAATCATTTGGAGTAATTTTAAATTTTTTTTAGGCATTGCGTAATGTGGTTCTATATGTTCTGTTGTCTCCATTTGACAATGAACAAGCTGATTTTTTAGCAAGATTATCTGAAGATGTAAACCTTGAAGCAATTCCTTTATACAAGTGAGTTGTTTTTTTGTTAGTTATGATAATTATGTAATTAATAAATCCTTCGCACAAGTTCGTGGTATTTTTCTTAAGTTAGTTATGATAATTATGTAGTTATAACTCTTTTGCGCAATTTTTTTAAATTGCTATAGTTATGGCAATTGTTTATAAATTTCTTTTTCAATCCATGTTGAATATTGGGAAAACTTTCTGTTTAATTTTTTTATGTTTTTAGCTGTTCTTTAATATTTTAAGTTTGATTTCAAATAGAGCGATATATATATATATATATATATATATATATATATATATATATATATATATATATATATATATATATATATCTGTATGTGTGCGTGTGTAAATCAAACTTAAAATATAAAAGAACCACTAAAATTTGTTGCTTTTTGTTTAAATAGTGTTTTTTTTTTAATTATTATCTTGCAACATTCTACCAATAAAAATTATTACTAATCTGTATAATATATACATATTGTTGCTCTGTAGAAGCTATATATTTTTAGACAAATGTTAAAAAATTTTACTACAAAAGAACTTATACAGTGGAGTAAATTTCAACAACTCTATGAGCATGACCTATGTGTTGGAACATTAGAAAATCCTGTTACTGGTGTTTTTGATAGGAATACAGATAGCGGTAATAACAGATGGAATGAATTAAAAAAAAGAGTTGTAGAACATGTAAGCCTTTTTTTTTTTTTTGAAAAGCAAATACAATTGAAACTAACAGTGGATAATCAACATAAATGATGCAAGTAATAATAAAATTTATATGCATTTGGTCTGTATTTTTTGATTTTGATTACACCATAGTGTTTTGTATATTGAACAACTTTTTATTAATAAGAAAATTAAAGTATAGGTTTTATATTTTATTTTTATTTTATTTGTTTAATGATTCTAAGAATATGTTTTAAAGAATATTTTTTTCAGGTTTTATTCGAATGGCTTAGCACTAACATTACTGAGCCTTCTGACATTAAAACTCATAATTTCTTAATTTCTCTATATCTTACTCAGATAGTTAACTTTGTGGCTTGTTTTCCAGACAACCTTAATCACTTACCTTCACTACTTGCTTGTGTTCAGTTTCTCTTATTCTTTAAATGCTTCTGATCATGATCTCAATAAATCGTTTATCTTCTTCTTTAGACTCACCACACACAATCACACTTACTACTACCCTTAAGCTGACTGGGTTTCTTATAGTGATTTTCTTCATGGCAGTCCTTAGGCAGATATCTTTTCTCTCTCCGCTGATAAATGTGCCTCCTACATGACCTTCTAGATCCAGGAAGGTATGGAAGCTTTTATTCCTTTTGTCAGTTCCAAGTCAAGCCTCATTCTACTCCATAGTCTTCACCTTGTGCATCTGCTACATCTAATTGTAATCATTTTTTTCATTTTTTTAAAAGAACAACTCTCTTAAGAACAAATGCTAAAAGTTACTAAAAGATTTTATTATGCATTAGATGGAGGTGGCAAGGTAAGGGCTATTGCTCTTGACATATCTAATGATCTTGATAAAGTTTGGGATGCTAGTTCTTTCCATAAGCTTGCGTTCATATATCAAGGACAGTTTTCTAGATTATCAAATCATTTCTTTTTAACGTCGTCCTCTAAAGCCAACACTTTTCTTCATGTGCAGTAACTTCAGGGAACCTCAATGTTCCTTGGTCCTGTATTGTTTTTTATCTACATTTACGATCTTCCTGACAATCTTCTATCTAAAATGACTCTATTTGCTAACAACTCAACTTTATACTCTTGTCTAGGCAAAAAGCCTTCTCTTTTCGATCACTAAGAACAGGCAGTTAATTTTGAATCTGACTCACTTCTGTAACAGATTGGGGCTTGAGGTGGCTTGTGAATTTTATCTCCAACAAAACTCATTTATATACTGCAAACAACTATGGCAATTAGGGATGGCAGAAATCCCGGAAATTTTCAATCCCAGGATTTTGGGGTTGAGAAATTTATCCCTGGGAAATCCCTTAAAACGCAAAATTAAATATTTTTTAAGTAATACTTAAAAATGCTTATTATAATAATAGTATAACTAAAATATTTAATACATTAATGAACCTAAAATTAAGTTAAAAACATGTTTTCACTTAATTTTGTTATATTAGAAGTTATCTATGGCTTTTAAAAATTAATGATCCTAAGTACTTTAAAATATAAAACAATACCTTAAAATAGTAACACAGTAAAAATAAAAATAATAATTAAAAAATAATATAAATATGCAAGACTTCATTAATTAAACGGACGATTAGAAAATTTTTTAATTTAATAAACCTTCTATTTTTTGATAACTTTATTAATTAAATTGACGCTATAAAAACTTTTTTCAATCACTCACATATTTAAAATTAAAATTACTGGAAATAAAAATGGAATTTGCATCACGCACACGTTTGGAATTAGAATGAGTGCATATAATAATAAAATTACAATCGCGGACACTTTTGGAAGCAAAAAATTTAAAATTAAATTAAGGTATACCTTCTATTAAAAACTCTTGTTCTTTCCATTAGCAAGCTCTTAAATTTTATTTGTTTTTTGTAATTTACTAGTTTTAATTATATATATATATATATATATATATATATATATATATATATATATATATATATATATATATATATATATATATATATATATATAGTGAGAGAGAGAGAGAGAGAGAATATTATAATATTATATTTTATATGTTTGATCTTACATATTTTGCAGACAAGCCAAAACGTTTTGAGTTTTTATTTTTAATAAAATAGAGAGAGAGTTTTAAAAGGAAAACAGAATAAATAAATAGTTGCAAATAGAATAAATAGGATAATTAGGATAATTAATAAATAATTAAATAATAAAAAATAAAATATATAAATAAAATAAAAATAAATAAAATAAATAAATAAAAATAAATAAAATAAATAGGATAATTAGGATAAATAGAATAAATATAAAAAGCAAATAGAATAAAGAGTTACACAACCAAACAACTACTATATCAAAGAAGATGTACAAATTACTTAATTGCAATTATAAGCTTAAACTTTATTAAATTTTACTTTTTTTTTTGACAATCCCGAAATCCCTGGATATTTCGGAGACTAATCCCGGGATTTCAAGATCCCAGGATTGCCATCCCTAATGATAATACAGTCAACATTCCTATATTAATGAATAGCAACCCTCTCACTAGATTATCATTCATTACTGACCTCTCATGGAAACCATATATTTAATTGATTGCAAAGTTTGCATTTGCTAAGGTTGCTTCTTGGTATCGTGCTTGCCATTATCTTACTCCATTCTTTACCTCTTCAAATCTCTTATTTGTTCCTTTATGAAATACTGTTGTTATATTTAGGCTAGTTCTTCTAATGATGTTCTTTCTCTTCTAGGCAAGGTTCAAAAACCTATTTTAAAATTTTTTTCCACACACTTCAATCCTAACTTTTGAAATCTTCATGCTTTTCTGATTCATTCAACCTAGTTCCATGTCTTCTGTCAATCGTTTCCTTGCACTATAACTGTATTCTTTGTTTTCCAGTAACTCCCATAATAAATGTGGTGGCTTGCAGCCTTCTTCGGATTTAATTTAATTTTTTTTTTTATGATTCCTACAATCAAAGTTGATTTACAATTAATTTTTAAAAGTTTTTATTTTTTTAATATTTATATTAATTGAATTTTATTTTAAGTTTTGATTTGTTTACATAAAGAAATATACATAATCATATACTTAACATAGCAAGCTTTTTTGACTTCCCATTTAATGAGCTTAATTCTATGGGTACATAGCCAATTCATTAAATTAAAATTATGCATGATGTTGATTGTATGAGTTATTTAATGTTGATATTATAATAATAATATTTCTTTAGAATATTCGTGTTATGGAAAAATACTATTCAAGAATTACAATGTTAAGAATGTCAGAATTGCTCGATCTTACTATTAAAGTAATTTTTTTTAAATATTTCATGATTAATAAATTTTATGTTTATAATAAATATATAAAGATAAATCAATCAAACCACATCTCAAAGATTAAAACCACAATCTTGTTTACAATAAATATAATTTAAAAAAATAGATATAATGTGAATGGTTATGAAAAAATTAAATTTTGCTGTTGTTGGAGTTTTTATTAATTTAAGTAGTTTTTTTTATTTTAATTTAAAAATTTTCTATTATTATTAGTGTAGTTGACTCTCGGTATCTCGAACTCTTAGGGGACCGGAAAAAAAGTTTGAGATGTCAAGAAATCGAGATATTGAGAGTTTAAGATATTGAGATATCAAGAAGATTTTAAGATATCGAAAGTCAAATGTCATCTAATATATTTTCACATTTATGTAAAAGTATTTTAATTCAATCTGTGAAATAATGAAAAAATGTGTGAGTAATATGTTATATATAGATATATAATAATTGGATAAAAAGAAGAATATAGATATGATAAAAATAACAAGATTTATTATAAATAAACTTAATTTAACTTTAAACAAGGGTTAAGCTTGGTAAAATTAGTAAAGGTTAACTTAATGGGATCAACCATATTATGGAGCATCGTATTTAGCATATATGCAAGCTTGATCCTCAGATGGATTGGTTGCAATAATATACCGGTAAATATATCAAGTTACAATTTATCGAGTTTAACCCTACTTCAAACTTATTTTTTATTAAATCTATCGAAATTAACCATATTTGTAACCAGCTGAGCATTATGAAGACCCAACATGAGTTGGGTCTTCATAATGCTCAAACTAACATATTTTGCATGCATACATGCCTAACTCCTAGTTAAAGGACCACACAAAACGTGATTATAAGTCACGTGAATAAACATAAAATATAAATAGTATGAATAAAATATAAGCTAGTTTAAATAAAACGTAGTCTGGTTTGATGGTCTTTTGCCATTAGTTTTTATTAAATTCAATATTAATTTATGATTTTATTTTATCATGAATTTTGGTTGATTTATGGTTATATTTAATTATAATGATGATTATGAACTATAATATATATTATAATAAATTATATAATATATATATATAAACTATAATTAATAGCTATGAACTATAATATATATATATATATATATATATATATATATATATATATATATATATATATATATATATATATATATATATATATATATATATATATATATATATATATATATATATGTTATAATGATTTATGATTATATTTCATAAATTTCATCATTTCTGTATGATTATATTTCATCGAGTTCAGTTTTTTCATTCAGTTGGCGAGACGAATAAAAGGAGAAATGCATGCATATTAGCATAAATGCCTAGATGTATGCTGGGAAATACTGCCAGTATGCATGCTGGATCTTCAATAAAAAAAATAAGATTATAATCAAAATTATATAAAGTTTATGTGAAATTATATAAAGGGTAATAGATAAGACAAATCAAGATATTTTTCTATTTCTATTTATTAAACAAAAAAAAATTATTTACCTATTTGTTTAAATATTAACTTGTTTTAAATATTAAGGAAAATACAGATTCATTTACATGTTTGAAATTTCCATTAACGACATAGATAGGCTATGGTATTTATAGATGTGTATGTATCAATATCTATATTAATGACAACTGACTTACAAATGAAAGATGTATTGCCTTTCTTGATTTAAAAACAGATGACTGATGTTCTTAAATTTTTTTTATATTCTCTATAAAATTTCCTTGACTTATCCTTTTACATTTGCTACTGCTGCGATACAAAACGTATGGCAAAAACCACATAATATGGTATTAATGATTAACTTCATGCGCTGAGGTTTGATTGGTTTTAATTAAACGGTATGTGCATAAGACAGTTAATTTTTTTTTCCCGTTGACGATTGTTCATTTTGTTCTTGAGATTCAAACATTGATTTCAACTCTTATTGCTTTGATATTAACATGATATTTAAAATCATTACAGAGTGGCAAAAGAATCTTAATAAAACTTAAAGTATTTTACAGAGTGCCAAAAGTATCTTTTATTAAATTGCTATCATTAGCATGGTATTACATGGTTTTATAATTTTATTAGACTTGTTTTATCTTATAGTTTAATTCATAATCTTTACACTTGTAATTTTATTTCTAATATTTCATTCCCAATAGACCTCGAAAATATTAGCTACAGCGACTAGTTGCTTTTTCTTCATGCTACCCTAAAAATAAAGAATGTATTATATAAACAATTAAATGCTTTCTTTTTTAACTTATAAATTAATATGAAATTTTATGTTTTAATGTTAATACAATACTAAATATGAAAAAAACTACTCATTTGACAAAAAAAAATTTAAAAGTTCAATTTCTAATTACCATAATGATAATTTTTTAATTTTTTGTTGTTGATGCTATTTACTTTATTTTTATTTTATTCTTATTTTTTATTTTTACTTTATTTTTAGGAGTCTGAAAGATTTATATCAGATTTAGTAACATCAAAAACAATTTTTGCTAAAATTGATCGCCCTGCCGGAATCGTTGTGTTTAAACCTCCGAAAGATGCTGCGGATACGTTGAACGAATGGTCACGAGACATTTCTGGATTAATGGACCTGCTTAACAAAACCACGCATTTGATTACAAAAGAACAAATGGTTCATCAACTTCTTAATTAGTGAACTTAATTGCATTTTATAAAATTTTAACATTTGCTTATTTAAACATTGTGCTGCTAATTTTTGTTAGCAAGAGTTGTTTTTCCGTTTGTGTTTTAGCTATCCATATTATATATTGTTTGAAATTAGTAAAAATCTTTCTGTTTTTTATTGGAAATTGCAACACGCATATATATATATATATATATATATATATATATATATATATATATATATATATATATATATATATATATATATATATATATATATTTATATATATAAACTTTTTTTATAATTCTTAAAGTTGAATGTTTATAGAGCAATCATCGGCGATAAAATACCAAATCAAAAACAAAATAATCGCTAATACGGTGTTTTAAGTTCTTTATGTCGCTAAAGAAACTAACATGGTAGTAAAGGAAAGAGAAAAAGATTTGCTATTTACCGGTATGAAAAAAGAAAAGTATAATTTTTTCTTGTGCCTGTATTTTTAAATCAACTCGTTTTATTTAGCAGATTTTGTGCTTTACATGTTAATACAGAGATATTGTGAGATATCTCGAACCCCGGATAACTCGAAGTACTTTCAAGTTCTTGAACTCTCAATAAGACTTTCTCATAAAAATCACTCAATAACTCTAACCTCCGCACAGTGGTCCGTTTAGACAGTTTTGGGGACAGCTATGCACAGTGCATAGTGGGGCCAGAAGGCAAAGTTTTGGAAATAGGATCATACCTAATGATTACGAAATTCCAGAAAACTCATTGAGCACTTTTTAGAAAGATATTTTTTTGCCTGTTATAGGAAAATTTTGATTTTTAATATTTAACTAAATTTGTCGACTGGGTTCAAATTACCATATTTGGTCACTTGATAAATTAGTATTTTTTGATAAATACTCAAAGTTAAATTTTTTTTTAGATGACAATTAAAAAAGTAATTTATTAGATATACTTAAAGAAAAGAAAATTCAAATATTATGAGGGAAAATTTTAATAATATGAGGGTCTGGTTTCTACTGTCTATTGATAAAAAGGTTTAACATATAAAAACAATTATTCTGTCAAATTTGGATTTAAAATATTGTGAGTATAATAAAATTATAAGGAAAGTGTTCTAATGACTTGAACTTTCAACATATTTGAAGATAAAAGTTAAAATAGTAAAAAATGGTAATAACTTTATAATTAATCATAAATAAGGTTTTCACACATTTTATCAAAATATCTCTTTGGTTTTGAAAACATACGTTCATGGGATCTGCTTGTATGCTCATTTGAACCACTATCTTGGCATAACTTTGGAGGATTTGAATAGATAATTTGTGTAAAACACAAGGATCCGATCTCTCTAATAGACGACTCATATCTGTAAGTTGTTCTAGATGTGATGTCTTACGAGAGAGATGTTTAAATAAATTCTAATATATTTGTTATTTGCTTTAAGACCTTCCTCCGATAAATTGCCAAGCCCATAACCATCATTAAGAATTATTAACTTAGCTGAATGATAAAGGACTCCACGAAGAGTGTGGTTAATTTGTGCCCATGGCATATTTGTAATAATGTTAAGTGTAGCATTATTGCATAACGCCTGAAATTTGTCAATTTTAATTTTACGCTGACAAGAAACTATATGAAGTATTATACTGATATAAGAATGTATTAGTAACATGCTATCTTTGTACATAGGAGAGCATAGATCTTTTATGCTAGAAATTAGTTCTTCAGAAAAAAATCTACAACCTTGTGACCCTGTTGTAGATGTCCCTCCCTTCTCACAAGAGTCGCAACACATATCTAATCGCAGTCCAGTGTTTTTTTTAATTTTAGTAATAACCCTGTCTTTTGAATTACGTATTGGTTCACTAAGTGGTCCAGTTTTTGTAACCCAAAGTCTATAATCTATATGACACCGATAAAGTAGTTTTTAAATACCAGGTAGTGCTATTTATATATATATATATATATTTTTTTAAGTTGATTAAGGTGCCCCAAGAAGTCCTTACGGTCTTATCACAGAGCACCGCGGAAGAGCATTTAATGGGAAGTTCACGCCTCCTTCCCAACCGATGTCGCAAAACTTGCCCAGAGGTGAGGTTTGAACCACGGATCTTACATTTCTGAGGCAAGTGCGCTACCACTACGCCACGGCTGCTTGTATGAATGTGTAATATATATGCTTTTTTGATCAGATTTGGTTTATAGTTTTTTAGTAAGTCCTTTTCGTGTGGCAAAATCTCCAGTTTTAGTTAGAATAATACCATCCTTATCAACTAGCTTTTTGTACAGCACCCAAGTTTCTTCTAATGATCGATCAATCAGAAATCCTTCACTTACTCTTTTAATATCCCTCCATTAAGTAGTTTTTGTTTTGCAAAGTATACAATCTGCACCTCCTAGTCTGCTGATGATTCGTTTAAATTTTAAATCCTTCATTGTATCTTGAATATAAATTTTGATATTAATATAACTTTTGCCAAATTACTAAAACACATTCCTTCAGCATTTAACTCTTCTCGTGCGTTATCAGTAGTTGGGATAATAAGATCAAGTAAATCTTGATTTGTTTTGTTTCTCGTATCAAAAACACAGGACATAATTATCTCGATGCATTTGGTGAATAATTTTTCCAAAGGGTCATAATTTTACTATCACGATGGCATATTAGTTTCAGAGGAATAAGACCATATTTAAACATATTTGATTTGCTTTCAATCATTTCTTTTGATTTTATCGATACTTGTTGTCCTGCTCTATCACAACCATCCTTAAAATACATCTCATACTCATCGCCGTCTACTGGAATAAAAGAATCTTTAATTATATTCAAAACAGAATCAATTGTCATTTTTACAAGCTCTTTTTATTGAACAGAAACAAATCTTCCAGTTAAAACATTACTAATTATAGAACGCAGTTTTTTTTCTTCCTTCAAGCAATTCATTGGTTGTTGAAAAACATATGCCTTTTAAAGCAAAAAAAAAAAAATCTTAATTTTCTCATTAGCTCTTTACTTAATGTAAGGGAATGCATTAGAGCAATTGATTCATCTATGCTGAAGATATCTTTTGTTTCCATATGGTTTGCATAAATAGAATTTCCAACAGGAGCATTACATTTATTATTTTTGTGTTAACTCTATGTAAGAGGTAACCCAATAACTGGTTAGTATGCAACTCTGGTGTTAAAGTTGATTATATAATTGAGAAGTTGCTGTTTCATCTCCTTTTTCATCTTATCACCCAGTTCTGTATAAGATTTTCTTTGTTTTAAAAAATACTGTTCTGATATGTAAACATCCTCTACTTCATAAATAATATCTTTTGATGCTTGTGAAAAGTATAAATGCATATCCATTTTTCTTGAAATGTTTTTGTTTCAGGCGTTTATAACATTTAAATCATCTAAATAAAAAAAAGTGCCAACTTGCCTCAGTTGCATTTAAAATATTTGAAAAGAAGAAATGTTAAATATTTTAAAAATGTATGAAACAGTAGAAGCAAGTTAGCACTTGTGAAGAAATCTAAGATTTGATCTGATTTTTTGTATAAAACAACAACATAAATATATAACATAATTGCATAATTAAGTTTTAAAAGCTTTGAAGAAAAAAGTATTAAAAAAAAACAACATATTTTTAATTTATTTATTCAAAAATATATTCCATACAAAATTAAAAACAACAAACATAAGTGATTTATCAATTTTCATGTCGGTAAATTCATTTTGAATGGAAACTAACTGAATTTATTAAACTTTTATAGATACACAAAAAATTGGAAATTCATCATTTCAAATGATGAATTTCCAATTTCCAATTTTTGAAATTCATCATTTCAAAATTGCATATCATCACTTAGAAATTGCATAACATCACTTAGAAATTAGCTAGAGACTTAATTTTTTTTTTATTTATCCACAAATTTATCAGACTTTCTGAATAAATAATTTTTATAGACTTTCTCAAAAACATACTTTTTGTCTATTTCCACCTCTGGCCACTGTGCAGTGGTCTGAGAAACTTGATTTATAACTAAAAATAAAATTTTGATACTTCTATACTAAACCGATAATGCTAAATATAAATCTGAAAAAAGTTTTGCTTGTGGTTTCATAATATATCAGATTTATATATATTTTAGAGAAATTTTAAAATTTTTTAAATTTCTTTAACTGAATTGAATGAATCACTTAAACTATAACAGCCACCATCCATTACACATCAAAAAGAATATTCCTTATAATTTAGCTAAAAGAATAATTGTTTTTACATCTAATTACGAAATTGAAAAACTTCGTCTAGCTGAACTAAAGTTCAACTTTTTGTTTTCCTTGAGCTTAACAATGAAAGTTTTTTATTATATATCTGTGTGTGTATATGTATGTATGGCTGCAGCGAAGGGGGGGGGGGGGGGGAGTTCATAAGCAAAATTAAATATTTCAGTTAAAAACTGTAGGTGATGATTTCCGTTTATTTTTCATAAGTTTTTCATCAATATTTTTGAATAATAAATAATAAAAATCACAAGAGAAATTTGTCCTAAAATTTGTCACAAATTGGTTTTTTCATGAAAAGCTACTATTCTAATTTTTAATTTAATCATCAATCTAAAGATGTATAAGTCAATACATTGAATTAAAAACCATAATATAAAAAGTATACGTACAATACTTTTTACATTATGGCAAAGATATGATCGGCAAAGATGATGGTACGTACAATATTTTTTTTATTATGGCAAAGATATGATTAAAAATGTGGTATAAAACAACATAAATATAGTGTTAATACGGTATAGTTTGCAATGAATTTTAATTCCTTTATTTTAACTATCTGCAGCTGATTTTTTTGGAATTATTAAGCGATAATAAATGTTCAAAATATACCATAATTATAATGTTTTAATAGCGGACTTTTCATTTTACATAGATTTTAAATTTACCAAAATATGCATTTTTTTAAGTATTTTCATCTAGTTAATTATATGGAATGTTTTATAATAATAAAATAAAAATGAATATTTAAACTATTTTTAACAATTTATGTATCAAGTACGATTGTATAAAGAAAAAAAATGTTTTTGAACATGTATTTATAGAAATAAAACAAAAATAGAGACACTAGTATTTTTGATAACAAAAAAA